CTTCCCCCCATGTAAGATCTGGAATGCATGCACGTCGCGAGGTCAAACGCCCACGAGCAGGAGGATTGGTGGGTCAAAAGCGCAAGCCGAACTTGCTTCTGGATCCTCTCGGTGTGTGTTGGAAATGGGTTTCATGTGGTGCGATATCAACCGACGTGGTATTATAGGCAAGGAAACAATATGTGTGGGTTCGCATCGTGCCGCCAGTCCACAAGGGATAAAGAGAAGAAGAAGAAGAACAAGAGAGGAGAACGTGGTAGTGGTATTAGTAGCAGTAAAGAAGAAAAGAAGAAGAAGGCGGATGTACACTTGCCGATGCGGTGTGAGGTCGCTTTCGAAGCTACCTGCATCTCTCGCCAGAGTCACGAGGCTTGGCCAGCAGCGACTACCACCATTGCCACACTAACATCGTATACACACGCTTAGATTGTATATTATACTATCTGGTCCCAACTACCAACTTCCAAGCGCCGACTCTTTACTATCACCGAGAGGGATATATAGGCGCGGTGGGTTGCCGCACCGTTGGGGCGTGTGAACGCTGTGACATATGCGATGTCGCTTTCTTTAATCGCTTTTGCCGAGGTTTGATGACTTTTTGTCCAAGTTTTTTTTTAATACTCCTCATTAGTGTATGTCTCCCATTCCAAAATTTTAAAATTGCATAATAATAAAATAATTCTTGGATGAATTTCTGAGCTAAACACTCTGATTAGTATTTCTAATTACTACCCTAACAGCATTCGGATATTCAAGATATCCAATGGATGTCTTAGGGATAGTCGGAAAAAGATATACAAATTTCCAGATACGGATAGGACGTCCATAGAATATTCTGAAATGCCTGTTAGGGTATAAAATATTTCTTGGGTGAATTTCTGAGCTTAATACCCTGCTTTTTATTATTATCATCATCATCACTATATTATAAAAAGATTTCGCCGCTGATTCAGCAAGTTTTAATGATCTGTCGGGTAAGTATATTTTTCGAGATTAGGTTTTTTAAACCATACGGATTTTACTTTACTGTAGCAACAAAATTTAGGGACATAATTACCAATCATAACTTTATATATCTGTTGAAAGTATTTCTTTCATTATATTCATGTTTCGAGCGAATAATTCGAAAACAAGACCAAAGAGAATGAAGATATAAGTCTTGTTGTACATCCACTGAAATACTGACTAGTACGCGACATGGCACGACACTTCCTTCTTTTCTTCACTCCAATGTCGCAAGGGAAAAGTCAAGCCGTTTGTTAGTCAAACCTTGCCCTACTGGCCATTGAGAAGTATATATACGATTTAACAGGATCGCGCAAAATGCGGAAGTCCTCGTACCGTTACATTGTAATTTAAAACGAGTGAAAAGATCAGAAACAAATTAGAGGAGGACAAAATTCTTAGCGCTATTTTCTTCAAAATACTTTTTTTTTAAAGAAAAGGCAATGCAAAAAAAATTGTAATTATATATATATATATATATATATATATATATATATATATATATATATATATTCACACGGTATATATGCGCAAAAGTCGTATACATATATGTGGGTTTGCCGCGCGGCTCGTAAAGAATAAGAATAATGAGAAAAGGTTTTATGTATACATTAGACAAGATAATAAGCAACCCCTTGACATTTTAGGCTTGCAGGTAGATCACTTAATAACTCCTTAATTATAAATCGGTATACTTTAATGTTATTTTAATGTTCAACATTTACTATATATGTGATTTTTAATTTTTCGTGAATATTAGGAACACAACATAAGAATCGGAAATATATTTAAACAATATATCATAAAATAATCTCCTATACTTATAAAATTACAACTAAAACAATACCAAAAATAAATTAAACTAAACGAAATAAATACAAATAAGATTATATGATTGTTCCTATTACTTTAGATAAATCTCCCAAAGCCAAACGATATTGAATAATTATTGAAAATGCGATGAGACAACAATTTTTATCACTCATATTGAAATAATGATATGAGTCATAAGTTACAAAATAGCCAACCGATTACAACAGAAACAATTATATTTTTCAGTGAGAAAAAAAAATTAAAGTCATATTGTAAATTGATGTAATCAACCGAGTAAATCTGCTGGGTCATTGAACTCTCTTGGATTAATAATGCGATAAATTTAACGCGACCATATACTGCAGGTGTGCCTTTAGTTGTACTCGGATAGTAATTCAAATCGCAACTATATATATATATGTAGAAACAGGTATAACTCCTCTTATAATAATAATCGAGGAAGTATCTTGTCAATATATTTGTAAAAAGGCTCAATTCCCTTTGGTAAGAGACGACACATTATGTCAACCGTTTATTACAGGATTACTCGACAAAAACAAATTTTGCATAATTCAAGATAATCAAAGAGGACAGGTTTTGGACAGGTGTGTAGCGATATAACCTCACCACCTTTTATCTTATAAATATACTTTCTCGTCTCGACGTGTAAATTAATAATCTATTAGGGCGCTGTAGTACTTAGCTCTCTCTCTCTCTCTCATCTTTGAAGCACTCTCTTCTTTCTTTCTACTGCTTCTTCATGAGGCGCATGCTCGCACGTGGTTGGTGAATATATCCTTGGGCGATAAATTAACTGACACACAAATACATGGCTCCACATGTATATATATATATAACTGGATGAGGATATATAAAAAGGACTCAAAATAGTATAGCGGTGGTAAAAGGAGGAACTGCCCTTTACTCTATTCCCTCTCGATCTGTATCTTTAAGTCATTTTCCTGCTGCTCATCCACACCACAGGTATCTACTATACCTACTATACTCTCTTTAATCCGGGAACATATAAAATTGCGGTAGACTCCACGATTTTGCTAAAATAAACCATTACTATAAGTTCTTCATTTTCCTCTTCTTCCTGTTTATAAATCAAACTATATCTGACAATTCTCAATACTGGCCATTGGGTAATTTACAAAAAAATTATGGAGCTTATCCAAAGGTAAATTTATTACTTCGTTTTAAGAAAGTTGATATGCAACTGCATCCCTCTTTTCTTGGATGAATTTCTGAGCTAAATATTCTAGAATTTTTAATTATTTTAAATTAATAATAAAATGGTGTAATGCACCTCTTAATTCTTGGGTGAATTTCTGAGCTAAATACTATGGAAATTTTTAATTATTATAAAATAAAAATAAAATGATGCAATTGCACGATGGGTGAATTTCTGCGGGGTCGATTATGTAATTCCAATTTCCACTTTTTCTCATTTCCACTCCCACTTTTTCTAATTTTCATTTTCACATTTATTTACATTTCCACTTCCACTTTTTCCACTTTTCCAATTTTCATTGCCACTTCCATTTTCACTTCCACTCCTATTTCCACTTTTTCTCATTTCCACATTTATTTACATTTCCACTTCCACTTTTTCTAATTTTCATTCCCACTTCCATTTCCTATTTCCACTTTTTCTAATTCTCATTCCCACTTCCATTTCCTCTTCCACTTTTTCTAATTTCCACTCCCATTTCCACTTCCACTTATTCTAATTTCCACTCGCATTTAAACTTTCAGTTTTCTCATTTCCACTTCCATTTCCACTTTTTCTAATTATTACTCCTATTTCACTACCACTTAATCTCATTTCCACTCCCACTTACACTTTTTCTCATTTCTACTTCCACTTTTTCTAATTTTCATTTCCATTTTTCTCTTTTCATAATTTGCATTTTCACTGTCACTTCCACTTTTTCTCTATTTTTATTCCCATTTCCCCTTTTTTTAATTTTCAGTCCCACTTCTATTTCCACTTCCACTACCACTTTTTCTATTTTTGATTCCCACTTTCATTTTCACTTACAATTGGAACTGATATGAAAAACGAGAAAAAGTGTAAGTGCGAATGAAAATTAGAAAAAGTGGAAATGGAATCGGGAGTTGAAATGAGAAAAAGTGGAAAGGGAGGTAGGAATTAAAATTAGGAAAGTCAAAATGGAAGTGGGAGTGAAAATGAGATAAAGTCGAAGTGAAAATGGAAATGGGACTTCAATTTTGACTACAAAAATTTTAATATCCGGTTAAATTAGAATTTTTTAAACAAAAAAATTGAATAAAGAGTAATTTTTTAAAACAAAAAGTGATAATGTAAATGGGAGTGAAAATTAAAAAAAGTGGCAGTGGAAATTGAAGTGGGATGATGGAAATTAGAAAAAGGTTGAAGTGGAAATAGAAGTAGGTGTGGGAATGGAATCATTAAAATAGAAAAAGAAGTAGACATTAGAAAATGTGGAAATGGAATCATGGAAATAGGAGTAGAAATTAGAAAAAGTGGAAATGGAAAATAGAAAAAGTGGAAGTGGAAATTGAAGTAGGAGTGGAAATGAAATTATAAAAATGGAAGTGGGAATGGAAATTAGAAAAATTAGAAGTGGACGTGAAAATGGAAGTGGAAATTAGAAAGAATGACAGTAGAAATGGAAGTGGGAGTAGAAATTAGAAGAAATGAAATTTGAAATTGAAATTGGAGTAGAATTTAGAAAAAGTGGAAGTGGGAATAAAAATTAGTAAAGTAGAAGTGGAAATGGAAGTGGGAATAAAGATTAGAAAATTTTGTAGTTGAAATGGAATTGGTAGTGGAAATGAGATAAAATGAAAGTGGTTATGGAAATGGAATTTCATAATCGACACCCTGAGCTAAATTTGGCTCCTAGAATTTTACTTCTGTCTGGCAACGTATATAATTTGAATTAATGCCTAACAAAGTAAATTTAACCATATCAATTTTAAAATAGTTCAATTATAAAAACTAGTATTTTGTTTTTAATTTTTCATTAGAATTATAAAATACAAAAACCATCCAACTATTAAATGAACAGAAATTTTTAAATAGCTAACATATTTAATAGACAATTTTTGTGTGTTGAGATTGCGTGACTTTATATACAAATAATGTATATATGTAGAGTGGAGAGAGAGAGAGAGAGAGGTTTAATATTTAAATTAACATTATACACGCAAAAGAAGCCTTCGACAAGGTATTTATTAAAGCCAATAACTAATTTCCGACAGAAATGTAAATTATTATACTTATAGGAAAGGTGAATTCCTATCCTTAGAAAGACAGTAAATTGATTTTAAAATTAATACTGCTACTATATTTATATTCACCTACAGGTAAAACAGTTTTACCCTGAATGTGATTTAGAAGGATTAGATTCTTATAGTTCTATTACTAATTTTTTTTTAATTTCTAATACATCAAATTCATGAGGTTTTTTTTTTTTAAATAATACATGTTTATTTAATTAGCTATCAATTTTACGCTACTTCGTTGAGAATTTATTACTTTTTAAGATGTGGATAAATTCTTATAAGCCTGTCAGCCTCTCGAAATCCTGATTCAATAGCGCCGTGAACAGTTGAAAAAAAATGCGAATGTGTCGCTTCGCCAGCAAATAAAATTTTCTAATAGAAATAAAATTAATTTTTAATTGATATTCATTGAGGAAAAAGTAATAATTTTTTTTTTCTCAAAAAGGGTTTCTTTTATTAATTGGAATCTTGTCAGTAAAATGAATTTTTACTTACTGGCTTTCTTTTTCCAATTGGTTGAGCCAATGTTGATGGTGAAATGTCGTCAAATTTTGATGTTTGTAAAAAGCTGTATGCTCCTTTAAAATTTTCCTTACTGTTCCATTTACTTCTGTATGAGGATAATTTGCATTATTTAAAAAAAAATCAGTTTACTATTTTTTTTTTTTTTTTGGATTACAAAAATTATACCTAATCATGCCAATTGGTTTTGTTATATTATAATGTTTTCCCATAAATCTTTGAAGGGCTTCAATTAAATGATTAAACACTTTCTCCTTTGGAATCATTTCCATTTCTTGTGAATAATTTCCCGACAACCATCCATACAGTAATCCATGTCTATGATCAACAAATGAAAATCTATTTAAACCAAGAAGCCATCTTTTTTCTGGCTAAAAAAAAGAAATCTTAAATTAATTTCTTAATTTCAAAAAAAAATTGTTTTTAATTTAAAAATTCTCACTTCTTTTTCAATTTCAACTCTGTCTTCATCTTTCCAATAGAAATAAAATCCAGGATCTTTATGTTTCCACCATGGTTTTTCGAATGCGAGAAAAATTTTTGCTTCATTTCCAAATCCCATTCCCTGTGACAAAAAATTTTTTTTATATCAAATAATTAATTTAGAAAATTTTTTTTTTTTAAATTTTTGATGAAATTATTACATTAATTGTTTTCACTTTTTCATTTGGCAAAGGAGGATAAAATAATTGATTATGCTTTTCTTTCAATACACCCAATGATACTGTTACTATCACATGATTAGCTGTATAAATTCCACCATTAGCTGTTGTTACTGTGACAGTTTCAAATTTTTCATTATTATAAATTAATGTCACTTGAGAATTTAATATCGTATTATTCATATTAGGAAGTTCTTCCTTTGGATTTGGAAATCGTTTCTAAAAATAAGAATTCTACATTAAAAAAAAAAAAAAAAAAAAAATTAAATACAATTTTTATATAAAATAGTTACCATTAGAATATCAAGAATAGTAAAGTAGGTACGATTTTTCCAATTAAGTTGATTAGCACCCGGACTCATTATATATTGAATTACATTTCTAGTTGAAACATCCCACCAACTATTACCACCGTCTTCCTCCATGTCAATTTTGTCAAATAAATGTAAAAGTCCATTAGCATCATTTTTCAAAAATGGATGTGCTTTAAAATATTTTTCAAATCTAGAAAATAAATTTCTCTAATTAATTCCTTCAGATCAAAATGTTATTATTGGAGAAAAATCTTTATTTGAAACAGCGATACTTTTCTCTGGAATAACGAATTCGCTATTACAGTGAAACTTATCGCTATTCCAGGTGAAAATTTTTTATTTAATTATATATATATAAAAGAATAAATATACTCATTATGAAAATGTTGACCAATTGGTCCATTTCTTCTCTTAGCATACTGATCCAAATTATCAATTGTTTGAAAAAAGAATCTCTTTAAATCATCAGCTATCGATTGATTCATTTTTTTGCCTGATGAATCAAAAAGTTCAAATTGTCCATCTAAAAAATTTCCCCTTTCCAATAATCCCTGAGGCCATGCTGTTTCAAATACAATATTACCTTTCTCCCCATGAACCCATTGACCACCCAAATCGACCATTTGATTATCTGGATATATCAAAAATTATTTTTTTTTTTTTACAATAAATCAGAAAATAGTATTAGAAAATCGTATTTTAATGTTTTACGCAATAATTTTGTTTAATCTTACGAAATAAAGTGGAATGAATTCGACCACCAATTCTTTCGTCTGCTTCAAAAATTTTTACATCCTTAAAACCATTTTCATAAAGTTTTGATGCTGCCGCTATTCCCGCTGCTCCAGCACCAATAATTATAACACTCGGTGATATTTCATTGTCTTTCACTATTATACCACCGTGAGTAATATTATAGAGACACAAAATAAATAATAATTTTAAACGAAACATTTTTTTTGACTTATTATTTTTAAACAATTACTTTAATGTAGTTAGACGGAATTTTTTTTTGTTTCTTTTTTTTTATTTAAGAATAGAAACAGGAAAACTAAAATGTTTGAAATAAATTTTGTTTTTAATTTTAACGAATGCACTTACCGAATAAATAAAACTGAAATCAAATTGCGAATTTAATGAATGTTAAGACGTGTTAACGAAGATAACGTAGAATGAACTGTTTACATTAAAGAGAGAAAAAACTAATTTTTTATCACATACCGACAAATCTGTTTGTTTAAGTTTATGACACAAGAGAATATTAATTAGGGGATTTTTTTTTACCAAGATTTATGACGAAAGGAAATTTAATTTTTTCTCATTTTTTTAAAGAATATTTTAGAATATTTTAGAATATTTGTTTTTAAATGTTTATTAAAAATAAATATTTACAAATATTTTTTCCTTAAAGCTTTCCAAACACTGAATTTATAATGCAAATATTGGCTCGATAACAGCTGACCTAAGCTAATCATTTTTATCATACAAATTCATGTATTTAAAGTTCATTACTATCCAAAATACTTTTTTTTGTTGTTATATTTGTTATAATTACAAAAAATAATACTTATTTAAATTTTCTCGAAAGATATATATATATATATATATATATATATATATATATATATATACGTCATTGATAATAATTGTTTGGGTTTTTTTTATCAGAATATATGTAGGTTAATGTTTTATAAGCAGGGGGTCGATTCCGTAACTTTCCTACTTTCCACTTCCTAATTTTCCCATTTTCCAACTTTCCATTTATAATTTTCCACTTTCCACTTTTTATTTCCCACTTCCTAACTTTCCATTTATCACAACTCACTTTTCCAGTTTCCTACTTTCCATTTCCTAATTTTCTCATTTTCCAATTTTCTATTTCTAATTTTCCACTTTTTATTTTCCACTTCCTAACTTTCCATTTATCACAACTCACTTTTCCAGTTTCCTACTTTCCACTTCCTAATTTTCCCATTTTCCAACTTTCTATTTCTAATTTTCCACTTTTCATTTTCCACTTCCTAACTTTCCATTTATCACAACTCACTTTTCCACTTTTCATTTTCCACTTCCTAACTTTCCATTTATCACAACTCACTTTTCCACTTTTCATTTTCCACTTCCCAGTTTTCCCATTTTACAACTTTCCACTTCCAATTTCCCACTTTTAACTTTTCATTTCCCACTTCCCAACTTTACATTTATCATACATATCTCACTTTTCAACTTTCCTCCTCCAATTTCCCACTTCTTAATTTCCATTTATCACATCTCACTTTCCAACTTTCCACCTCCAATTTTCCACTTTTCATTTCCCACTTCTTAAATTTCCATTTATCACATCTCACTTTCCACTTCACACTTTTCACATCCCTATTTCCATTTCCCATTTTGAACTTTTCATATTCCACCTCCCACTTTCCTTTTTTACATCACACTTCATTTTTCAATCAATTGGGAAGTGAGATTTGAAAAGTTGAAGGTAAAATATAGAAATTAGAAGTGTGATGTGAAAAGCGGAAAATGAAATGGAAAAGTGGAAGGCGGAAAGTGGAATGTGAAAAGTGGGTTTTAAAAAGTTGGAAGTAGGAAGTGGAAAATGGGATGTGAAATGTAGAAAATTGGGATCTGAAATTGGAAGTAGAAGGTTGTAAGTAGAAAGTGGAAAATGGAATGTGAAATGTGGAAAATTGAGAAGTAGGAGGTGAAATAAGGAAAATTGGAAAATAAAAACTGGGAAGTGAAAAATGGAATAAGAAAAGTGTGATCTGAAAATTGAGAAATGTTAAATTTTTGTGAATCAAATAAAAATTAAACAATAACTAATTGCAAATAAATCCGTTATTATCAAAAAAAAAATATCTCTTAGCAAATTATAAAGCTATATAACTGTAAATTCAAAAAAAAAAATTTCCGTATGCAATAAATAAATTTTCATCGGTCTTTACCAATCTGTCGATGGTTCATCAACATGCAAATCGTTTGAGCGAAGGGCAAAGGGTTCAAAAGTGAAGATTCATATTATCTGCAGGGGTTATATACCATTGCCTTGGTTACGGTTATAAAAGGCAAGAAAAAGGTTCCATCTTAACCATCGACATGAACTTCTCAACACGTGGTCGGACATCAGCAATGTCGATCACGCTCAGCACAATCATTATCATTGATCATCTATATACCGCCTTCGCGTATATATATATATATATATATATATATATATATATATATATATATATAGTGTCCAATCATTGCAAAGCTCTTTAATTGCCAGCGCGTTTCTGTTCGTATATAACTTTCGATTTCTCGTTTTTTTTTCCCGCATCACAAAAAGGAAAAAAAAAAAAATTTTACTGCCTTTGTGAAATCGTATCGTGATTTCCATTTTATTCGAGTTTTCTCAGACGATATACACTTAACACTCAACAGCATATATATATATATATATTCACATTAGTTGAGAGAATAACATTAAAGGCGAATTACTACACACACCACACAACATATATAGAAGTCTTATCCGCTGAGTCGCACGCGTGCTTTCAGTATATGCTTCAGGCACGTGTGCGATGATAGGTTTCGATATGTATATATATATATATACAGGTCGACATCGTAGGGCCCACGATTATTTTAATCCACTCGATCGTGGCATAATGGACATAAGAATAGACCTCGAGAACAAGCGACTCTAATCTATATTTGGGCTAGCATCTCGACCTTGATTCACCTCTTAGATCACTTATCCAATCTATTAAATATTCAAATGCACTGCCTGATATAAACATATATTTGCTCATTGAAAATGCCGCAGGTGTATGAAAATAAAAAATTTACATTCCTTGCGTCTATTTCTTTTTGTATATCTACAGTTTTGAAAATGAAATTAGTTTCTGTAGATTTATACAGATTAGTAGAAAAATTAATTAAAAATAAACAAATTCAAAAATCAGTCAGGACCAAAAAGAAAATTCGAGATCACTTTGGAATGGTCTGGAATTTTGATAAAATATCAATCCGTAACAAATCTGAAGTTACTTCAAATGGAAAATTTAATCCAATCTGGTTAATATAGACAATTTGCAAAAATAGTAAGCAACAAATAAAATTTTATTTAGAAAAATTTGATTCTGAAGTAATCCAAAATCTATACTTAAGAAATTGGTATTTTTTATATAGTAACAGTCCGAAATTATTCTTGCCAAAAATCCGTATCTAAAATAAGCCTGGAATAATTCAAAATCTGTATGTAAATAAATCCGCAATCAGTCAGCAACAATCCTAATTTATTTCGGTGAAAAATCGCAATTGCAAAATCTGCAATTAGTCCTCAATATTCCAAATTAAAAATCTTAATTCAAAAAGGATGCGGAATAATGGAGAATTAATGCAAAATCTACAATAACTCAACAACAATTTAAATCTAATTTAATCAAAAACTTAATCAGAAATAAGTAAAAAATTTTAAAATAATTCAATATCGGATGCAAAAAAATTTAAGTATTTAGTCCACGCAACAATTTGGATTTAGCACCTGGTCAAACATCCTAATTCAAAATGACTCCAAAATAATTCGGAATTTGTATGTTCGAAATCTGCAGTCAATTAGCAATAATCTACAGTTAATGGGGTTAAAAAATATATTTATCTTAATTGAGTTCAATAATTTATATAATTTAAAATCACTCCACAACAATTCGGATTATGTCCCGTCAAATATTAGAATTCTAAATGAATATACAAAATTTTAATGTTCAAAATCCACAATCAGAAACAATCTGTATTTTAATTAGGAAGGCTTCAAATCATTTCTGGACTTCTTTCGGAATCAGATTTTTCACCCTAATATAAATTCGGACTATTGTGCAAAAAACGCTGTATTTCTTATATATACAGATTTTGATTCCTTAACCAAACTAAATCCGAATTTTTCGCTTACAGATTTTCCATATCTGGATTTTAGATTATTTCCTACTATTAATTTGTTTTTTAAATAGAACTAATTGCGGATTGTTATGGATTAACTTCAAAGAAATTTCGAAACATTCCGATTCTGTATGCGCGACAATACAACACTTTCCTCGACGACTTCAGTGACGATCCGTATTGTAATAACGCGACCTTTAGACCATTTGATAAAGTAAGAGTTTCACTCTCATGTTTACATGAAAAAAAGAAATAATAATAGCAATATTCACTCGTCTGATGACTAACACATTGTTTACGCGTAATTAATTTCAAGTTCCTACACCCTTTTTTTATTTTTAGAGAAAAAAAATTAAATTTTCTTTTTTCTCCCCTATTAAGAAATAATTCGGTAAATATATAATCTTTAAAAAAAAAAAAAATTCATGCACGAGAAGATAATAATTCACAAACAAGAAATCGAAGTAAATTAATGATTTCCTCTCTCTCCCTGTATATAAGAGACTGTGTGTGTGTGATTCATGTTGTTCACCTGCAGATGTTAACATCCACACCGGAATATCTATCCCAAGACACCAAGTTGTATAAATCAGCAGCGTTTGAAAATTGTCAAGGATTTATAAATTTCCTATAAACATTTACAAACACGTCAACACTTTAAGAGCAATTTTTCGTTATCAGACAGCATTTTCCGGTATTGCCACCTGTTATTATACATAGTTCTGACATAATTTCCTAAACGATGAATTTTCTATATCTATGTACAAGATATTTCAAAATAGAACTATTATAAAAATTTAACAAATTAATTCTATATATATATATATATATATATATATATATATATACATCTGCCTTTAATATCTTCCTCCTTTGGAATAAATTAACTTCTTTCAATGATAAATTTGCAAACATTTATTGCTCTCGGTATTTGCAATCGGTATAGATGTCCAATATGTATACACACCCGGAAGTCGTTTTCCTCTTAACGGAATAATTCACATTGGAAGTGACCAATTGGTTAAGAAATTCCGACATTTTCTATAATTTTGAAAGAGAGGAACAGTATAGTCTATTAAATAAAACATAAATTATTAATTTAAAAATATATTTTTTTCTTCTATATTTTATATATAATTCAGCAATTTTTTGTTAATACTGCCACGGT